GTGCAGAGATACTATCTTTGAAGTTACAAACGATGCCTCCATCATTAGAAACGTACGAGAATGATGATGAAACAATATCGCTATATACTGGATTTCCATCATATGCTATAGCTAGGCTAGTACTCGAGCTAGTGGATCCTGGATTGAATGGTACGTTTAACAGAGAGTATTTTCGTATACTTTTCATATTCACCATCTATTTCTTCAGGTTGCAATATCTTAGATTGATCTGGAAAATCGATAAGCAAAGTGGAACGTTGGTCACTTAATGAGAGTCAACAATTTTTGCTAGTATTTATGAAACTACGGCAAAATTTTCTATTCCTGCGCCTTGCTAAGAGATTTAAAATTGGAAAAACGACAGTATCAAGGTATAATACTTCCAAAATCTGAATCTCTGCGAAACTATTGATAATACTGCTCGTTTTGTAAATGTTTCAGATTATTCGATCGATGGATCAATTTTTTATACTTAAGATTTGCAAAACTGCCTATGTTTCTAAGTGCAGAATATGTACAACAACATCTACATCCATCATTCAGTTCGTTTCCAAAATGTGTTCTGATCACAGACAGTTTGTCTGTGTATGTTCCGAGACCAAAAAATTTAACGGCTCAATCCATCACATACAACGATTACTATGGTGGAAATGTCATGAAAGAATTGATTGATATTGCTCCTACAACTGATTTTCCAATCGTTTTTCTCTCCGAATTATTCTCTGGTGCAATTTCTGACAAGGAATTGGCAGTACGTTGCGGTTTAACAAAACTAAATTATCCTCTAGGCATTGAAATAATGGCAGATAAAGGTTTCCACCTCCAAGATGTTGAACAAGAAAAACAGTGGAAATTCGTCATTCCATCATTCTTGGATGAGTCTGGTCAATGTAGTTCAACTGATATTGGAAACAAAATGAAAATTTCAAGTGTTCGTATACGTGTAGATCATGCTATTGGTAGAATGCATATTTTTCGTATTTTGTCTACGCCTATTCCTTATCAACTATTTTCTTGTATAAATCAAATTGTTTTTATTTGTGCTTTTTCTTCGAATTTCATGTATGCAGACAAAAATGAAAAAGTACAGTCAAAAAAGTAGAAATATATTGAAAAAGAATTAAACAAAATCTTCATCATCGTCTTCATTACAAAAAGATACATCAGCACAAAAATCATCTTGTTCTTCTTCTGAACTGGATTGTTCAAAAACAGGAATGTCACCTGGAACATCGTTGAAAAAAGGAATAGCGTATTTACAATAGAAGTTGTGTAAAACAGGAATATTTTTCAGAATCCAGTTTTTACAAGGAAATATTCGCTCTATACTTAAGCCCTTGAATGTAAAAACGATAAAATCGCACCAGGCCGATTGCGTTAAAAAAAGTTGCGTTTGAACTTGATGAAAATAAAAATGATTCTCATTTAATTTTGGAAAACCATCATCATTTCTTGTAAAAAAAGTTTTCAGAACAGTTGCTTCATTTGGTTTAAGAAAGCGAGCGGAGTAAGGGCATTTAACTTCTGCAATTTCAAAAGTGATATTGTCTTTTGTGCAGCAGCGAACTTTGGCATCAGGCGTTGCGCCCAACCAAAAATAGCCCGGTTTTGTGACGAAGCCAGACGTAAAAATCTGAATATCAAAACCGTTTGAAAGCATGGCCTTTTTATATTCGTTCAGTGCTTTAGATTCATTATCGATACCATGTTGTATTGAACGAGGAACGGAAGATTTTTGCGAATCATTGAATTCAAAATAGAGCCGACTTGTGAAGCTGAAATACGTTTTGTATGCGCATCACGCCATTATTGACTGCTACGTTGTCCTGTTGTTGCTGCTTCTAACGCGACTGAAGCGTCATGACTTACAATAATATTCGTAGACCACCAGACATTATGATTTGAGAGATTTAATTCAGTTAATGATGGCGTTGGTTTCAATGGAAATAAAGGATAGCTTGTACTGTCTGTGTCGTAAGTATATTGAACGCAATCTGGAATCGAAAAGAGAATTTCTTTTTCAGTATGTTCATGTTGATGGATAGCCAGGGCACTGATAGAATATGTGGGCCCAAAGTTGGTGTTGACTGCAGAAAGAGGTTTTTGTTCGATAGCATGATCGAGATGAGTAGAAAATGGCAGGTTGAGTGAATCACAACGTATCTTTAATCGTTTTAATAAATCTAATTCAGATGGAGAACGAAGGTCTGGCGCACATGCCTGATAAAGAGGTGCTTTTGAAGTGGTGTTAGTTGGAGATGTCGTCGATGTGGTTGAAGAAGAAAAAGAAGACGAATGTCGACGGTGAACGGTCCAAATAATTTCTGTGGCTGACATGTTGACCATATTAGTTGATTTTGGTGTTCTCCATGAGCATGAATCGATAGTAGAAGAAATGTCTTCGTCGTAGCACCATCAGTTTTGATGATGATTCTCAAAATGTGTCCCTTTTCAGAGTGTAAAGCAAAGGACTTTTCATTTACCATCGAATTCTTCATATGATTGTCAGCATCACCACCACAAACTTTATTTAGATTATCTTTGATATATTTTTCAATATCACCGAAGGTAAACTTTGGCAGTGAATGTATATCAGATATGTTTCTATTAAGGTACGACTTAGAAATGAATAATATTTCAGGAAAAAATGAACGTTTGCAGCACAAACTTCACACCAATATATAATATGAAACAATCTGACAACGTCAGACGGCAGCTATATGAACTATCTTATCTCTTCTTTTTTCCATGTTTGACGGACACTTGTGGTTATACGTCTAAGCATTCACCACATATCGTCTGTAAAAATAAACAGAAGATAATTACGTCTGTAAAAATAAAAAGAAGATAATTACAATATTTCAAATGCTTTATAAGTCTAGAAACCATAAAAAGTTCAATAATAAAGTTTAAAACTCAAAAAATTAAATTATAAGCTAAATTATAGAACGGGTCAAATTTAGGAAAAATGAAGGTTTTTAAAGTTTGAAAACCAATTTTCCAGTCTAGGTTCGGCGTGAGAGACTTAAATTTTTTTAAAAATGTTCGTCTTTCCCTGCTGAATCCGAATATCATATTGAAAAGCTTTATCTAACCCACAATATTTTACAAAACCCATTTTTTCCGACACCTATAGATGGAAACCCACGGTTTTCCAGAAGCCATACTTCCAAGGATTTTTGGAGAAAACTTTTTCGAGACAAAAAGAAAGAGCGTGTCAAGAAACCCCTAAGAACCAAATGACAACTTGATCTGTTCAGCTATTTTTAAGATAGTTTTCTCGTGGAACACGCCTATTGAAAATAGAATCAAGAGAAAGAATTCACAGAAAAAGAAATACATAGAATTTGTGTGAGTATAAGAAAGGGATAAGTAGAGAGCGTGCTTAAGAATTCTTCGGAAAAATGGAAAATTTGAAGAATTTATAGAGATTATAGTAGTTTACTCGTGGAACACGCCTATTCTTCATTCGTCCTGCAGCAGCAGTCCGATTTTGGTGGGAAGGTATGTGAAGAATAATGCCATTCTTCTCATGGTCCTCTCATCCTCTTCACTGTGTTCTTCAAAGATTACGTCAAAGATTTCTCGAAAAAGCACTGTTTCTATTATCCATTTCAAAAAAGAAAGACCATGGCCATTTGCTTAATAACTTTTTCTAGGATGTAGCTACGGAGCTGCGGTTTTCACTAGTCGAAAGAAAAATGTTGGAGCAATAAGAAAAACCAAAAATTATTGTCCCAGAAT